TTCGACCCCCAAAGGGGTCGCGACCCACAGGTTGAGAACCGCTGCTCTAAATGGTATGGTGACAAAGGACGCAGACGAGGGGTTTTGCTGGTAAAGAATCTTCAGTGGTCCAGAAAATACACCAAATTTGATCCATAATTGCTTTTCAACGAGATAAACAAAATGGACACACCTGAAAATCTCTTCAATAGACACGCCCCTAATCCTCAATTTAAGTTTTCACAATATAACTGATATAAATCCATGATGAGGGGCTGTCGTTTGCATTAAGTGGCTGGATGCTAGTTACACTGGCTGATTACAGTGATAAGAAGCATGAGAAGCGCTGTGTCCAATTTGCAATCACAGGACTAGAAGCGATAGGAAAAGAGGGGTCTAAATACTTGAGCAAGACTGGAGGACTCAAAAGCTCAGATACAAATGGAAGTCCTTGTGATGTGATAGTATTCCTGTGTATAGAATGTGTACCTTGGTTCACATAAGTCTGAAATGCTCTAGCTTCTGAACTTCTCCTCCCTCCCCACAAAAACAACTGCTTTTATGAAGCCATTTTTGGGAGCACAGTTTCTTAGGGTGGAATTGCAGTCCTGGAGGAGCGAGGGAGGTAGTACCTTAAAGGAATACTTGCGACTTATGCGGTCCTCGGGACCCACAGGCGAGATCACATAGCTGGGCAGAGGGATGCTTCCAAGAACCACTTCTTCTCGGCTGTCTTTGAATTGAAAAACACATCAGAATAACCTCCTGTGGCACCTTCCTTGGGCTGGTCCATCCCACTGTCCTAGTTCAGGGCGCCTTATCTCTCCCAGAATGACTACTCTTACTGATGAGCCATTCAGCTGTTCCCTGGGGACCTGTGTGCTAATGTTGGAACTACACAGGTGAATCAGACAGGGCCTTCTCCCCAAGGATGGAGACGGGCACGTAAACACGCTCGACTCAGCCCGCGAACTCCTGAAATACAACAGTATCCCAAATGCTGCGGGAACACAGAGGCGGGCGTGGCACACAGTCTGGGAAGTCGAGAAGGCTTCAGAAGGTGATGTTTCGAGTGTTTTAAAGGATGGGGAGGGGCATTCTGGGTGGAGCAAACCTCATACGCAAAGTTAGAGCATCCCACCTCCCACATCTATTCTCAGCCTCCTCCAAACCATCTTCATTACCAGAAGCAGCTTCCTGCCACAGTTGGTCCTGCTGCTCTCCTACTCAAAGGCACTTACTTGCTGACTGCCTACTGGATACAGAAGGAAGCCCCACCTCCTCTGCCTGGTGTCACAACCCTTTTGCCTTTTGGCCCTTTCCCCACCTCCTGAGCCTTCTCTCTTAGGACAACCTCCATGCAAGACTCACTCTGGCCTCCCAGGTCTGTCATCCCACTTTCTCCTGCTTCTAGAACTTTACTCAAGTGTTTCCTCTGCTTGTAATGCCCATCTCTCCCCTACACACAGGCAGAGCTCTACCCATCCCTGAAAGCCCAACTCAAATCCCATCTCTTCTAAGAAGCCACCTCAAATTCTCCAATACGGAATTGACTTCTTGCTCTCCCTGAACTGCCCGAGCACTTTGGATGTTTTCTAAAGCACCCATCACAGTCTAGTCTTGGCTTAAAAGTAAGCTATGTCTTCCTCCATATTTTCAGGCTTATTTCCTTCTCACCATTGCACAGCCCTCAACTCTATGTGCTGGGGCTCCATAAATGTTCATATGGCCAACTCAATTCACCAGTTGCCCATCCAATATCAAAGTGGGTAAATCCAGGCAACAGGTTACAAAATACGATTTACCTATCTTCCCACCTCTCCAGATTGTGTCAAAGGTGTGCCTATGTCCCAAGCAGAAGCTGACACAACCCCAGATCTTGAGAACCTGAGTAGCAGGCAAATGGGGTTCTATTTATTTTAACTCAAAAAAGGACATTTCCAGTGCCAGGACTGGTAAAAATGAAGTCATCAACTATCCACATATGTAAAAGCGAACACGCTGTCAAGTCAATAGGTTATTAATTAGCTCAGGCCACTGGTCCAACCACTGGATTTGAGAAGACCACCATTTGCATCACCTCACCACCCTCTCCAGCACCAAGAGCCCTTAGTGGCCCGAACCTCGGCTCACCTTTATAGTAAAACAAGCAATAATCAGCAAGCACAAACCACCTCCTTTTCCACAGCCTCATCCCAGAACTGTCCTGCAAAGCAAAGAAAACTCATTAGGGCAATGTGTGAGCATGCTGTGCCCCCTGCCCCATCTTGACGTGCCCATATTCATGGTTTCTTTGAACAAATTAATAAATTCTTATTGCATAGCCATTCTTTGACTAGGACATTAAATTTTAGTTTCGGTGATGGTTTATCTCCAGGAAGTTTTTTTTTGTTTGTTTCCTGGAAACAGATTAAGATATTATAAGCATTCATCTTTTAGAAAGGATGATGTGAATTCAAAAATACAGTTCTTCCATTAAGAAAGATAACAGCTTTTAACAAAAAGGAAGCTATTTATTTATTTAAATGGTATGCTGTAAAATACCTTTATGCTGATTAGAAAACTGATTTACATAGTATGAATGAAGAGCTTAGGTTATGTAATTAACCAATGAGGCAAAGTTCTCATTTGACTAAGTTCAGTTCTCTGCCATAACAAACAGATTTTTTTGTGTGTTTTCCTTCCATTCAATGTAGAGGCTAGAATTTTCTTGCTATCAAATTGTATCATGACAAGAATCTGTCTTTATTCCTCTAAAATGTAACTTATGGGAGGGGAAAAAAAATCGTCGCCAGGATAGGACAATAATCGTGTTTTAGGGTCAGTCTTCTCCCAAACTTAGGAACATTCCAGAGCCGATTTTAGCTGTTAAAATTGTCTTCTTTCTGCAAAAGTTTTTGACAGGCTTAAATTAAAATTAAAAAAAAAAAATCTGACAGTTTCTAAACCTAACAACATAACATTTGTTCATTCTCCACTTACTAAAGTGCTAAACAACAAATTTAATTTGCTGAGTTCATGCGCTTCTTGGTTTTACCTTGACCAGATAATCTCTAAGGTCTTGGCATATGATATTTGCTTTGTTTGGAAAACCCCTCTCCATCCATCCATACCTGGTTCAAACATCACTTCCTCTGGGAAACCTTCCAAGACTCCCCCAAACACAGCTACATTCTCTCTGCTGTGTGTCCACCACATTCCACACAGACCTCTGTTACAGCTACAACACAGCCAAGGGGCCTGGGCTACGGGGTGGGACTGTGGAGAAGCATGATTCTAAAATCCCTTCCCTCTCCCTCCACATTTCCAAGGAGCACCCTTTTGTTTAATAGAGACAGGGATGCAACTGAAAAAAGTCAGAGGTAAGTTACTCAGGTAAGAAAACAGATGGGCAGAGAGGTAAGAAAAAAGTGAGAACAGGGCTGTGAGGGCAGGGGTATCATTCAGAAAGGGCGGTGCCAGAGGAGTGCCTGACAGAAAAGGCACGAGAGCTGTGCGAGTTGCCATGGGGAGCAGAGCCCGGCGGGGGGGGGGGGGGGGGGATGTCCCAGGGGACTTGTAAGGGACTTCTTCTTTGTAGTGTGTAATGTAATGCCCTCCTCTGTCTTCCCATAAAGCCTTTAGTAGAAATTCACATCATTGCTTTTGGAGTTTGATTTGTGGGGGAGTTTTTTGGATGGTGTGACATGGGAGAGACTGTGCTGGGTGATGATATGGCATGTGAAGGATGCGTCTATATGGGTTCCTTGAGGGCAAGAACCACATGTTATTCATTTCTTTGTATTTGCTGTGAGAGCACTTAGAACATGGCAGGCACTGGACGGGTGGATGGTTGGTTGGATGGTTGGATGGATGGATGGATGGATGGATGGATGGATGGATGGATGGATAAATGGCAAGGAGAGAAGGAAGAAGACAAAAGGGACATGGTCTCTGGTCCTGGGAGCTCACAGCCTGTCCATGGCCAGGGGACCAGAAGTAGAATAACTGGTGGTGAGAGTAGAGATGAAGGATGGCCTCAAGGGTGACGGAGCTGACAGGGCTTCCTGACCGAATGAATGTGGGAGGAGGAGAAGCTGGTGATGGTGCTGAGACTTCTAACCTGAGTGCCTGGGGGAATGGTGGTGTCATCACCAAGATCCAGAAAAAGCAGGATAGGGGGAAAAGAGAGGAAACAGGGTAAGGGGACAATGAGCTGAGACTGGCCAGTTTGGAATCTGAGGTACCAGACAGCTAGATATGTGTGCTAGACTGGGGGAGGAAAAAAATGGGATTTTCCAGCAAGTGACAACAAAGGCTCTTTAACATCAGGAAGGCAAGTGCTGGCAGTAAGGCTGCATTCATGCTGACCCACCCACACCAGCGCCTGGGTCCCAGAGAAGCCAACAGCACCAGGGTCAGCTGGATCTGGGGAGAGATGCTGTGGTCATTGAATGGACGGTCCACTCATAAAAATGAACAGCAAATCGCTCAGCACAGTGGACAGAATCTGCTTGCTGCTCCCAGTTCCCAGGGCCCAGGGGAAGGAAAGAAATCAACAACAACGACCTCGTCCTCCCCACTCTCCCTCCGCGGTCTCCTCACCTGCTTGTGCAGCCAGCCCCTCACCACCACTGGAACATTGGGGTTCCTCTGAATGGCCTGGTCCCTCTTCCCAAAGCTGTGGACTTTATTGCTGGACTTGATGATCTAGGAAAAAAGCAGACTTGAACTCGAACAGCGGAGGAGGGATTTAAGGAGACACAAAAAAGCACTTAATGGTAGGAGGACTGACTGTGGGTCCCCTCGGCCTTACTCTAAGTGGCAGCGCCCTTTGATCAAGAGAACAGCCAGGAGATTGGGAAGTGGTGTGCACATGGCCACAGCATTCTAATTAAAAGGCGAGTCCAAGACCTGTCAGGCTTCCCATCTAAGTCACAGAGGAAAATATTGAAAGGGAATTTTCAATCAACTTTCACTAGCAGCTGTTGGCCCCAATATGTCCTACAGCTTTCTGGAACAAAGCTACTTTTTGGTCACCAACTTTGCCAATTTCCAGATATTTACCCCTCCTATCTGGGTTCAGTCCTCAGCACTCTCCCCTTCTCTGCAATGCTCCCACATCTTGGGCACAGAAACCTCTGGGCCCTTTTCAAGGGCACCCTTCCTAGGGCCTATCTATCACAAATCTCTCCAGGCTGTCTCTAACACACATGGCCTTTCAAGGCACGCCTGGAAAATGACGAATACCTTCAAGGGCCTAGATTGTCAGTCCTGGTTCTGTCAATAATCGCCTGTTTTCTTGGGCAATTGACATAACCCCAATTGGCCTCAGTTTTTCAATCTATCGTTTGGGGAGAATACTTCTTACATGTCTCCCTCACAAAACTATGGCGAAAGTCAAATGCGTTTCTGGTTACCAAGGGGCGTGGCAAATATAAAAGAGGAAGGAAGGGTGGAGCAGCCAGGAGCTCACCTTGGGGCCAGGTTTGGCCTCCATGGTGGAAGTGGTCCCAGTCGTGGACGTTTCACTGACCATGCTGGATGGCCTTAGGTTTCTCTCTTGCTTCGACATATGTGGATTTGACCTGTGGGGAGACACGGGGCATCCAGTGAATAAGTGTCAGGCTGCAGTGGGAAGAGGAATCTGAGATCTATTCCAGGTTAGAGCTGGCTGATGGGCCTTAAACAATCTAGGATGAACCTTGTGAAGACCACCTGACTCCAGACTGCAGCCAGAGGGCCACAATGCCCAGACTATCCAGGTGCTTCAGGGAAGCGAGAGGATGACAGATGGGCACATCTCCACAGCCTGACACCCCACTAAGGGGCCAAGGCAGTCATCCCTGCCTGCTGCCCTAAGGTCCCCACATCGCATCTCTTAGTCACGTGTCTGTGGCAACTGCCCCATCAGATGGGCACACACAGTCACACACCACTCTTCAGAGCAAGAGCAATCCATACCCCTTACACACACACACACACACACACACACACACACACACACACACACACACACACACACANACACACACACACACACACACACACACACACACACACACACACACACATACACACACACTACACACCTCCATTTCCCTGGCTCACAAAAGAAACTGTTTATAATTAGTAACAAGAAATCACTTGCGTGCACATCTACACCCCCAGATACACACAGAGAATTGCTTACATAAATGCCAGTAGGGCCTGCCTCCCAAAATAGACTATTCAACAAAGAGTCCTATTCTGGGAACACTCTATCTGCCACAAAATAGAGCCATCAGAGATATTAACCCCTGTGCCATGCCTGGAGAGCAGGGAGAAATGAAGCATGCCTGGGTCCCCAGCGAGTATTCCCTCAGCGAGTCCCCATCAGCATCCAGTGACATCACACTTCCCACAGAGAAGCTCCACCTGCCCTGGGAAGGCCAGCCCTTTGGGAACATCTTGGTCCCACACTCAAGAGACACCAGAGAGAACCCCTCACCTGCTTCCACAGAGCCCCAGCATTTGCCAGGATTTCGAAGCAGCAGTGCTGGCAATGCCGCCACACAAATTCAATACTATCCTTGAACGGCTTGGGGCTGATTCCCAGACTCGGCTAACTCCAGGATCAGTGAGCCTTCCTCAAAAACGGAAGTCCCAGGCTGTGGCTGGGTTTTGTCCCTGTTCTGAGAAGCAACAGCATCCAGGAAGCTGTAGTAAATGAGGCTCTTTGCCGGAGGAGTGCAGAAAAATCTGAGCTGGAGGCCTGGGGCAGGACCCCGAGAAGATGGGGTGGAGGGTCCAGGCAGTACACAGCTGAGGAGGGAGACCTCTGAGGTCCTTTCGCACTCTCACTCTTACAGACGTGTTCCGAGGAAAAATCCTAGCTTCCACGTTGTAGATAAGGTCTGCTGCTTCCTTCAAAAACCACAACCGCTCAAAGGAGAAGGGATTCTTGCCATGCCCTAAGCCAGAGCCCCAATACCCTGCACCGTGAGAGAAGTTCTTCACAGAAGGGGCCGGGCCCTATCAGATGCTCGGTGGCTGGAGGTCCAAGTCCCTCCAGGCAGAAAGATCACTGGCTCCTTATCAGCTCAGCACTCACTCTGGATTCCCCGCCCCCAGCCTCCATCCCGGCCTGACTTTTGTTACTGCTCCCACTCAGAGAATGTCACCACACTCAGCCTGCTGGCTGTTGGCAGAGGCTGAGTGCAGCGCAGAGATAATCGCCTACTGGGGGTGGGCAGGGGCTCTGAGAGCCGGCCTTGTCCAGGCCCTGCCTCCGGGCAGAACTATGTCCCACGTGTCTTCCTGGAACCCGGGCTTGCCCGACTTTTCAGATTTCTAAGGTTTGAGACAAGGAAGGAGAATTCTCAGGTCATCTCAGTTACGGCTGCTGTATCTCTAAGCTAAAATTCAGGACACAGAGTCCAATAATTATTTTTTTTTAAATTTGTTTGGGATTTTATCAAGTTTAACTCGCTCCCCAACGGAGAGAGGCTTATTATAGAATATTTGAGAAACATACGAGAAAAAGGCTGAAAGGAAAGAAAAGAAAACCACATAGTCCTGCTACCCAAGGGGAAATCATTTTTAACACTTGATATATTTACTTTCATTCTTTTTTATATGCCTGTTGTTTTTTTGGTTTGTTTTTTGGGGACGGGGGGTTGTATTATATAATTGCGATCATACTGTGCTTATGATCTTGAATCTTGATTTTAAAAACCTTATTATAAACATTTTCTCCATTCTTTTGAACTCATCCACGTTTTACACGATGCATCCCATTCCATCAACTAGACATGCCGTTCCTCTTCTGTGGGCCCTGGGCTCCCTGGAGTTGTGACTGGCCCAGGAAATCCGGGACAGATGACCACCTTTGCCGTTTCTGCACCTTAGTCTTCAGCTCTAACTTGAACCATCCCCCTGCACTCTAGCCCAGGTCTCCTCCCCACACTGGCTTCTGAAATGCTGGCTGGCCAGGGAGCTCCTCCAGCCCAGAGCACAGGAAAGAGGCCTGTCTTGCAGCCTGGCGTGAGTGAGGAAAGAGAGGACCACCACCACCTACGGAGCCAGCTGTGAACATATTTCGGCAGGAGAAGGACTGGTTGTGGCCCCAGCACTGAACATCAGGGAAGGACAGTGTGTGGTGGGGCGTGGGGAGAGGGAGAAGCATAGGAAGTCACCTCCATTCTTCGTGAGGACTGCGGGGAGACCTGTGCTGAGCCACGCCCGGAGGAAGCAGGCTTGTAAGGAAATATGGGTGAAGCCCAAACCCAATGTGCTCCCAGGGAGGGGGCTGCGTGGCTCTACAAACAAGAAATGAATCTTCACCCGGGCTCCCAAAGGAAGCAGCAGACTCAACCATTACCTGGTAGACCCTGACCAGGCTCCTTGAAAGAACAAGGGGCACATAGCTACACACTCAGCCACGTAACAAGATCTGTCTTCAGAGGACACTCCTCTGATGGTGGGTAATGACCTTGCAGGTCCTCTATGGGTGAATACGACTTTGGGAAATAACTAGAAGTTATCCAGAATTAATAATAATGATTTTTTTAAAAGGTGGTGGTCATGTTTTGGATACCATTTGGCATCCAAAAATGAGAATATTAAAAAAAGTCTCAAAAAAACCAACTTTCTCACTCGGCTGAAAAGCTGGCTCTAATGGAAACTTCTAGAGGTCGTTTATCACACTGTTTTAAGTAATGGGCACCTCAGTGGTGCAGGTGTGTGACCTCCTGAAGAGATAACACTGAGGGGCCATCACTCACTTGGATATGGGTACATTTGCTTCAGCCACTTTAGAGCCCGGTGGGGCAAACACTAATTTGTCCTCCTCAGACAGTGGTATCTTCCTATCAGGTTTCACCCCAGAACCGTCCCCCCTTCCCCCGAGCAGTGCATGTGGCCTTGAGCTGAGCAGCTGTGAGGATGGTTCAGTGCTGACAGCCTGCCCTCAGGCACATGAGTCACACAGATCCTGGGGAGAGGAGACCAAAATCTTACGGAAGGCAGGCTCTCCATGTCCTTAACTAAAATCCTGTTCACTTAAAGGCCTGTTTGCCAGGTTTCTGTGCTATCTGGATTCCCAAGATACACTGGGATGAGCTGAACAAAGACTTCGCTTTCCTTGACCTGGGCTACACGCATACTGATTATTTTGTTGGAAGGGTGTTGGCTGAAGCTTAAAACAGTGACCTAGAGTTTTAACGTAATTGCCTCCCATCTGAAAGGAACAAAAGAAGTTAGGACCAGACCAAAAATAACAACAACAACAACAACAAAAACCAGTCTGGAGAAGCCCAATAGCAAAATGACTTCACTCTACTCTGAGCTTCCCAAGGATGTGTCAGGTGAGCCTGGGCGGGAAATTACTTTCTCTGTCCTCAACCTCCCCATCTTTAAAAGGAGCTGCTTCTGCTTCCTGCGTCCCCAGGGGCCAATGCACAGAACACCAACAGACAGACGAGTAAGAAAGGGAGGTTATAATTCTGGAGGCACTTTTTTCTGTTGGGTCTGAATTTATGTGAATCTGGGTCATGGAATCCTCAGCTGCCTCTCAGTCAACATCTTGAACAGGAACGGGCTAAAGTGGGATCCCAGCAAGACCCTTCCCTACCCTATTGCCAGCACAACAGGTAGGTCCCGAAGCTAAGTGTCACCAGCCTTTAGGGACAGGTACGCAAGGTCAGGCAAGGAGAGGGATTGGGCTATGCTTGTCTAGCACCTACTGTGTGCCAGGCACTTTGCTTGCATTACCTCAGTTAATCCTGCAAAGCCCGTTTGACCATCTCCATTTTATAGATGAGAAACAGGCTCAGAGAAATTAATGACTTGCCCAAGACAGAAGCTGGATTCCAAAAACCTGGGCTTTGCCACAGAGACACCATCCCATAGCAAGTCCCACAGTATGAGAAAGGCAAACTTTGGCTCTTCTCAGGGCCAAGACTAACCCCCAAGCCAAGAGGATCCTGGGGTGCTGGAAGACTGAGCCCAGAATCACTGGGTCTCAACAAAGCTCCGCAGCTTACTGAGTCCTCTATGCTCTACGAGTCGCATTGCACCTCTGGGCCTCAGTTTCCATTATTGCAAAGTGGGGTGAAAACTACTCTCACAAGGCAGTTGTGTCGATTGAAATAACGCTTTGAAAACCATAAAGCACTGCCCTGAATGAAAAGCACTGTTTGTGATTGTTACCAGTAGAGACCCCAGAATTTAAATCTCACGAACCCTTTACTTTTATTTCCAAAGTACTTCTCTCCAGAGAGCTCAAGATGCCAAACAATTAACTTCTAAACAATCATTTCCTATAAACTTCCTTATCAGCACCTTATCTGGGGCTTGTGTAAAGTGCAGTTTAACCTCGTGCCTGTAGTACTGGGCTGCTGTTCTTTCCCCAGGACGATGACAATGTCAAGAGTCTTCCAGGCTATGAGAAGAGGTTAGAAAGCTATGGGGAATCAGGAATCTCTTACTGACAAGACATCATTAGATGATACCTGTATCCCATTAATTCCTGGAAAAATGGGCCCCAAATTCATACTCTGTCCTCAAGGATCCTCCACAGAGAACTCAGCTAAAATTATTGCTCTGA